GTGTGTGTGTGTGTGTGTGTGTGTGTGTGTGTGTGTGTGTGTGTGTGAAATTAGCATCATGACTAGTGATCTAAAATAATATGAATATGCCTTTCTGAATAAAAACATATAATTCAATTTAGTCAATCCCAGGTTCTTGGATTGAGTAATTATATTATTTACCAAGCAACTACAAATTAACTACAAAAAAATTATACATCGAATATACCTAAACGGCCCATGAGCATGGTGATTTGAAAACAATGGAGAGGATCAGTTAAAAGATGATCAGGGGAACTGAGCTAGCTAAAAGTATTACGTAGTATTATAATATTAACTTTTACGTAGGAACTCAAGCTATGATAATAACATTTTTTTTACTGGGGCTAAAAGCTTACAATCAGTGCATATACCATTTTAAAAGTAATACATATTATATGAAAAAAACATTATTACGAAAAGTTATATGACATTATGTGCATAAATTTTTTGAAATGCGTGCATTTATTCACAAAGTTCTGTCTATATTCTTTCTTCGTGGGCTATTCAAACCAGGTAGTTTAGGTAAAAAAGCGCCCGCATATTCGATCACTAATCATGACATACATATGTTTACAGGAATAAGTTCGTTTACAAGTAACTTCGTTATGAAGAAATAAAATCGAAAGACTGCACGTAAACTATGTATCTACCAAAGTCGTTAAAATATGAAGAAACCACGCGATTTCCTCATATTTACAGGTACCTAACAGACGATGGTCTGAACCACAGGTTTCTGTAATGTTGACTTTAGATATACGACGTCACGCCAAAGTAATGAACAACCTAATTTATTATTAGCAAAAATATAAAGACTGTAAATTAAATTTTACTGTTTGTTTACATGAGCGTGTGATTCCGGTACGTAGATTTAGTTATCATATGTAATCAAGTAGGGACCCCATTATGAGATAGGACATACTTATTCACAGGACGTCAGACAAGTACGTAAATAAATGTAGTACATTTATCTCCAAATCATGAATTGATGTACAAATACACACATAGCGTTATTAACAAGGTGCATTACAAACGATAGAGGGGCCGCCGCCTGCCAGTAGTGTTGTCACCACAAAAGGCTCAAATCCGAGATCACTGCACTCCGTTACAAAGGACGCGTTATGCACTGTCACTATTAATCACTGCACTGTGTGTCACTAATCCGGACGCATTCCGCACTGCAATCCAAGTAATTCACTGCAATCCATTACTATCTTCGCGTGTTCACTGTCACGACGGCGGCGGCGGCGGCGGCGGCACCCGTACGTACTCGTGCGGGGACTAGGGCAGTCATGCTAGAGTTCCACAGTTTAATTACAACAACATTGCGTTACAAGCGAGCTATGTGCAGACGTTTCGTGGAATATTCTATGGCCTTTGATTAGCAGTCGTCAACTATACTGCCAATAATATGTTGCGACATCACCGTCAATGGATAAGTCGCGTCACGAGTGGTTTGATTATGTTAAGCATGAAATGAAAATGAACAATGGGGATTCAAAGAGCTACGTATATTCTACCGCATCTAATTCAATAAATTTCAAAGATTTAAAGCAACTGGTTAAATTTCGCTAGAAACAGAAACATCGCCAACATTGCTGAAACGAAATGTACAGAGTTTCAAAGTATACTATATTTATAAGCTATAGCTTTCAGAAACGCAGCTCTTTCTTAAATTACAATAGGTTATATGTTGATTCATGACCTCATTCGGCGAAACACCTTTGACAGATAAACTCGCACAAAAGTTAGTTCTTTAATTGATTCACGAAATGCTTTGGCGATTTTAGCAACCCAAATCTAAAAAAGGCTTCAAAGGTATGTCGTCAAATATGCAGCGGGTAAGTAAAAGCTGTACTCACGAGAGGTGGTACCGGGGGGTGGGTGCAGGAGCGGGGGCCGAGTTCACGGAGGACGAAGAGCCGGAGTAGCCGGAGCCAGCCGGTGACGAACCGGCCGAAGGTGCTCCTGCAGCCGATGGTATCGCAGCCGGCTCATAATATTCGGTGGTGAGAGTTCGCTCATCCAGTACGTGTTCTGCGTTGTGCGCCTTCGATGCGGACTTGATGTCCATGAAGGCGACAGTAGCGCAAACTCCACTGGCCGCGCCTGTGGTCGTAGGCGCGTTCGTGCTCTCCGTCCGACCCAACAACTTGACATTCTGGACTCGGCCATAGCTGCAAATAACATGAGGTTATGAGTATTGAAGAGTATCATTCTAAATGAAAGTTGTAACCTGGTAGTTTTTTCGGTAAACATATTATTTATTTTTTGGTAAACATCTAATCTAAATTGCCAAGAAAACTAAGCCCTTAAAATTTAAAAAATATATAGATTAATTTTATATTCCACAATCCAGCAATCTGCAGCAATTATACTTATCAAATTTCTAAATTTCCCTTGCCATATCGAATTCATCCATCCATGAACTCTCATATCATGAAAAATTATTAAGACACTAACTTTTAATTAATGTTGTAATTCCCTACTTTCAGAACAAATTCAAAGTGCACGGAATGATTTCATCTAATTCAATCAGGATTAAATATTATTAAAGTATTACTATGACCTTTTGTAATATTATTCTGTTTTCCAAACTAAAAACAAATTTTAAATTATCTTGAGACAATCTTATGGTAATAATAATTCCCCTACTGAAACAGTACAGAGTAAAATCGCATAACGATTCCCAATGAGACTTCGCAAGACCATCGATATGGTATTATGTAAGCCACGGGCACGAAATCCAACATGTTTAAATGAATAAAATTAATCTGTATGACCTACGTGAATCCGAATCAATGGCTTGCATAATAATGTGAATCATTTTGTTCCGTGAGCTGTCTGTCGAACGTGTGACATTCTGAAATCAGTCTTTCGTAGTAACGTTGGGGTAATATCTATCGAAATTATGTGCAGGGTTCGAAGTGATAAATTACGTTGACAAATGTACCTTGCAATTGTCTTGATATTTATAAAATTAATTGAAACAACAAAATGCCACCGTTGGGAATATCATGCCAAGCGTTAGTATCCGAGACGTCTCCAAGCGCGTCAAATCTCAAAAAAAGTAACAAATATGAAATTCTTTTCCTAAAAGATCTTTCTTCGTGTTTATTTAGTTTTTATTGATATTAGAATCTTACAATAAGATCTATATATATTACATATTTAAAATCCACATTTTAAAGCCAATGTTTTTAAATTTGAAATAACTTTTTGTTTTTAACCTATATACCGATCAATAGTCATTCAATAGTTATTCAATAGTGATTAGTTTAGTTGACAGATGTGTATAATCCTCAAAAAAAAAAGCTATTATAATTGTTACTAAAACAAACTAAACAACAATTTCTCTAAATCTCCAGTAACGAACACCTAAATTCTATTAATTAACTAACCAGTAATCAACACTCATCAATAATGAACACCCAGTACTTGACAAATACCAATAAGAAAGGTTTTACTATGACCGAAAATTTTGTCCTAAATCTTATTAGAAATTAATTTAAAAAATATGTCGAACAGTGGTGCTCGGTCACTATACTATACTACACTATGCATGTTTAAAAAAATTGATTTGTTGCAATTTTCAAATAATAAAACCATTAATAATTATGATGAAAGATGAGACATCTTTCATCATAATTATTAATAGTTTTATTTTTTTACACAACATTTTAGTACTTACATTTTTAATGAAAAATTAAAGAGACAAAACAGTAAAACAGCATGGATAATTAATATCAGCTATATATCGCATCAGCTATCAGATAAATATCATGACACTTATAAAAATAAATATACATTTTGATAATTTCGAACTCTAATAATTTGTATACTATTAATAATATGATTTATAACAAGACATCATTTGTTTGAACAATGAACTCTAATAATAGGGGTTTGAAATTGCCGATTTGTACTGAAAATCTAAATTGTTTATTTTTTAAATTTTTAACAAATTTATTTAATCAAAATAGTTGCCATTATTATCTATACATTGCTGCCATCTAATGGGAAGGTTATTAATGCCTTTGCGATAGAACTCCGACGATCTAGACTGCACAAACTGTGTGAAAGCATTTTGTACTGCCTCCTGGGAAGAAAACTTCTTGTCACGTAGATAATTGTCCAAATCACGAAAAAAATGGTAGTCCGTTGGAGCAAGGTCTGGTGAATACGGAGGATGACGAATGGTTTCTAACTGCAGTTCCTGAAGGGTCAAAATGGTTTCTCGTGCTGTGTGAGGTCTCGCGTTGTCGTGGAGCAATAATGGTGAAGATCGATTCATGAGTCGGGGCTGTTTTACTGCTAGTTTTGTCAACATGGTTCGGAGTTCGGCACAATAGACATCTGCCGTTATTGCTTGACCAGATCGGAGAAAACTATAGTGAATAACACCATGCTGAGACCACCAAACAGTTACCATTACCTTTTTATTGGTAAGTTTTGCTTTAGGACACTGTTGTGGCATTTGACCTGGGGTCAGCCATTGCATTTTTCTTTTCCGGTTATCATAAAGAATCCACTTTTCATCACATGTTACAATTCGATCCAATATTCCCTCATTTCTGTACCGGTTCAACAAGGCAACACAAGTTTCAACACGCGTTTCTTTCTGCAGATCAGTCAAATCATGAGGCACCCATTTTTCGTATTTTTTTATTTTATTGATTTGACGCAAGTGAGTCAATATTGTGGGTAAGGTAACGTTAAACCATGCCGCTAATTCCTGGGTAGTTTGACTAGGATCGGCTTCCACTATCTCTCTTAATTCATCGTTATTCACCTGTGTGGGCGGTCTTCCTCGTGGCTCGTTATTTAAGTCGAAATTTCCATCACGAAAGCGTTTAAACCAAAATCGCACGGTGCGTTCATTAGTAGACCCCTCTCCAAACGCAGCATTGATATTGCGGGCTGTTTCTGCCGCGTTAGTTCCGCGTCGGAACTCGTATTCAAAAATCACTCGAATTTTCGCAGTATCCATCTTTCTTGTCTAAATTGAATAACAAAAACAATTGAAAGTCGATATTCAAATGTTTCAAATTTAAAAAAAAAAATCACAGAAACCATTTGAAAAAAGTTTCATTCGAAAACCTCAAACCATGAAGATTCTATGAAAATTCAAAGAACCTATTGCAATAAAACGGCAATTTCATACTTTAACCCCTAATATTTGAAACAACCTACAGATATTCGTATAAATAATAGAGTACGTAACGGACATTTTCTTTTTCTTTATTTCTATTAACAAAAAGCTAACCAGAAACCATTTTACTACTCAACCAAATAAAAAAAAAAACAGCGATTTAACTAAACAGCCCGCAGATGTGAATTTAAGGTTATTTCGTGAGAATAAAAACTTGCTTCATTAAAATAAGATTACCTATGATATCGGGAAGGAGTACTTTACAATAGTTTGTATAATAATTATCATAATTTATAATCTTTTGACATATTTTTTTTCTCAGGCAGCCAGGCGCCATCTAGTTAGTCAGCGTATCGTGAACTACTGATGGGAAGTCACTGCTTTGAAAAAAGAAGCTATGGAGCTCCTTGTGAAAGAGTTCGTCTAGGGAAGTACTGCCACCTTACCTATTTCTTCTGCCAAGCAGTAATGTGAACATACTGCGTTCCGGTTTCGAAGGGTAAAGGTGCTGGTGAAATTACAGGCACATGGGACTTGTCAACTTTTGTCTCAGAGTGTCGGGTGCAGTGGCAGTGCCCCTCAGATCTTTGTGATTAAATCTCTGAGCGGCACTGCAATTGTTAGGGACAAGCGTGTCGCTTATCACCAAGCACACTTGTTCGTCCCGTTACTTACTATTATAAAAAAAAGTATATTAAATCAATATAAATGTAAATAATAGTCAATTCGTTCTATATGACTCACGCATGTTTAAAAAATGTGGTTTACTAAGAGACGGTTAACCAGGTTTTTACGTCGACGTCGAGTTTATTAATTTAATTAAATTTTAAAAATAATTGCAAACAAGATAGATTATTTATTTCCCAAAAAGTATATCATTTTTTCACTTTAATAAGTGTTCATAATTAGTGACATGGCTTTATTAACTTGCCAAATGTTTAAAGATATTTATAGAGATACCTAAATTTCATAATTTTATATTTTTTCTAGTTTTTACTTGGACGAAGCAACATCATCTGTTGTTTATTCAGCTTCACTGAAAACGAGTGCAACTAACGAGGCATTTTCCAACAAGAACATTTTGGTAAAATTTAATTGTTTTCTAATTTGTATTTTATCTTAAGTTATTTTAATTTTCAAGTTACGAAACATTATTATAATATAGTTCTTTCTATAGAAACCGTACATAAATATAATCTTATTTAGACTAATAACTAGACTATAGTTCAATGAAAGTCATATGTCAAGTGATTATGGGTCGTATTCTAGAACTCTACTCAATGCTCAAGTCAGGATTTGAGTATGGTTTAAAGCACTCGAAATCATACTCAAGTCCCTGCCATTAGAGTCGTATTTCCAGTGCTTGTGTGGCCAGTGCAATCCTGACTTGAGTATTGAATAGAGTTCTAGAATACGACCCTACGACTGTAAATATGACGCTTCAAATCCGAAATCTCTTTTAGTTTTTATTTTTTCTATAACGTAAAACTTAAACAACGTGTATCCGTATTCTATTCAAACTTTTATGATGTCAATTATTGATTCCGTAATAATTTCTTCAATGTTAACTACCTACGTAAAAATGTATAAAATAGATATGTTATGCTGCGTTACATGTATTCATCACAACTCTACTCTATAAAGGCTAAGTTATTAAAAACAAGCAGTGTGTTAATAAAAGCACGTCTGACAGAGCGGACGGTGCACGTCGGCATGACGACGCGAGTGAGGCTACAAAAAAATGCGTAGTTGCCGCTTTGATCAGGGTATCGGACAAACATGCGACGTTGCCGTTTCGACTCGTCATATTCATTCGACAATAATATTCATACTTTGAATACAACGGGAGTACGCGCTTTGTCTGTTGTACTAACGTTTTTAAAGTAATCTAATTTTACAACTGTGATAAAAACAACTACCTAGTCGCTGTAAGTACGAGTTTTGGCGTTTTTAAAACACAACAAATCTATTCTATTAATGTTCAACTTGCTTAGTTTGGACCATTGTCCCTGAAATTAGTAAGTA